TCTCATCCTCGGTCTCCTAAGTAGCACCACCGAAAGTCATTCCCTCCCTGATGATTTTGGCTAATCAACTAGTTTGGCTACTTAACTGTTATCCCTTTACACCCATTATCGTCCTAACTCTACTCTATAAAACAAATTCTCTTAAACCCACCTCCTATAGTTTGAGATTGGAGATGGATTTAGCTAGTACTCCCTAAATTAAGATGCGTGGGAAATATTATGAACCCCAGGGAAAGAGGTGGTAGTGTGACCTAATAGATGACTGGCCCAATCTTCTCCAGGATCTTAAAGGACCAACAAATTTGGGAGTTAAAATCTGTGCCTCAACTTGACCTCCTAATTCCCAATCATCGGTATGACCTTCTAAAACATAAAAGTCACCTACATAAATCTCTATCAGCCTTCTCTATCTATCTATAGAACTCTTTTATCTAATTGTAGCCACTATAGTTTTCACTCTTGTGTCAATTTTTTAGGTGGTCTAATCTACTAGCTTTGGCCTAATAATGCCCCTTCTTCCTTAAATTGATTGAACACAGGTGATTTACATTCTTGTCCATAATGCCTTATATGGGGTAATCTAAAACATGTTTACTTCATGATTACACTTCCTTATAGTTTAAACTTAACCATATTGCATTTATTTTGGTGGTGTTGCCTTATCATTGATAACGAAAAACTCTGACAAATGGACAACTATTTGTCATCCAAGTTCCTAGTAGCTAATCTATCAGTTTGGGAGTAGAAAGGTTGTGGTTAAAAGATTTGATCACAAACTAAGGCTATTTAACTATGGCCTTAGAGGTTATCATATAGCTATACTAACCAAGAATTGGCTAGTATGAAAAATTGGTTTAATAAATTAGTTAACTTACAATCCACTTTTATCATTTTCTATATCGTATCCCAATATAGCCATCATATCCTCATACATATGTTAATTTGCTCAATTCATTCATCACATCTTCACTATGCAACTCTAATTAATTAGTTCTACTGTGTTTAAACTATTTGTGGATTTCTCTATTGGGTTAAGTATCATCACTCTAATATGACTTTCTATGTATCATGTTTCTTACTCCTCCACATCTAGTTCTCAGTAATTCATCAATAACTAGAAAAACTATCTAAATTTGTAATTCAACTACACAACCTGTTTCTAACAAGTATTTCTATATTACCTATAACTAATTATTAAAGTTCCAAATAATAATTAATTCCAAAAATCACAATCTTAAATTTCTACAACTTAGGGTTCCTCTGAAATTCCCAAGTTTCAATTTAAATCCAAACAATCAATTCTAAACCAATTAAATACTTAATTCAACCCACATTAACATATTTAAACACAAATTAATTAGTTAGAACAACCCTATATTCAAAATTATAGAAATCACAATTTCTCCATTGTCAAAGATTTCAGAAACAAATAGGAAATATAGCAAAAACAAAATATTTATGATACTTATTTAATCATAAAAAAACTTCAAAACACATCCAAAATATCTCATAGGGAAAATCATTCTAAGGTCCCATGGATACACTGAAGTTCCATGAATTCATCAAAAAGCCACCAGATCCCAAGGGACTAAAGGGTGAATAAGTCTAAAAATAAAATTACTACTTTGTCCTTTATCATTAAAAAGGAAATCTTGCTTAAACGCATATCTCACGAAACCCATGATCAGCGAGACTGAAGATTGATGCGCATCCATGATTGTTGATCACAGTAGGGTAATTTTCACTTCCCCATATCTATAATTACTGTCGTCGTCTTCATCTAAGTGAGGTGGGAGTGTTCATCCGTGACTGCAGTATTTCATCGCACGACAGAAAACAATACAGTGATTGTTGAGCGAGTAAATGATTTTTCATGCGTTAATGATTTCATTATTTTTTAAGGGTAGGATAATGCTTTCTGGGTATGCTTACGATCATTTGATTTGCATAGCTAATGGGTATGGATTCATCTAGTGCGACATTGGTATGTTGAAAATATCTAATACGAGCAACTCTACATATTGTCAATAGTGTATTCTTGTGTTGTCAATATGCTATTGATAGTTATCGATGCACTATATTGTACAGGATGACTTGTAAGAATACTTATACCACCAAAAAACATGTATTATGTTATGTTTTTTTTTCATATAGGGGACATTTTTTATATTATTCTCAAGCATGTGATGCAAGCTTCTTTTGTTAAAAAATCTCTATTATGAAACAACATTGCTTCTTGTCAATAGTGGATAAATGCATTGACATTATGCTATGTATAGTTGTCAATACACTGTGTGTAGTGTTGGTTGACCTGTAAGATGGCAAGCTCTTCTGGAGAACATATATTATATTTTTTTCCATGTAGGGAACATTTTCAAAATTATGACCAAGGAAGTATGCAATATGTTAGGGGGAGTGTTAGAACAAGAACAATAAAGGAGCGGGCAACGTATGAAGAGTTGACAAGAATAATATCATCAAATGAGTAGCACATACATGCTCTTGTTTAGCATAGCAAATGAATAGAATACCTTGTGTGCATGCATGTGCAGCAATCAAGCTAGTTTATGGCAATGTGTATAATTTTGTAGATGAATGTTACAAGTTTACCACTCAATAGAAGATATATGCCAACAACATGAGGCTAATAGCCATACATGACTATCCATGTCTATAAGCATTGACGATGACAAATTTATTAACCCAAACCTGCTTGAAGCTACCAATGACTATAAAGCCTTTGGGTAGGCCAAAGCGTAAAAGAAGGGAATCTTAAATCCAAAACAAAAGAGTTTATCATTGTGCAAGATGTCATAAGACTGGTCATATCTCCAAGACTTGCAAAAATCCTAATCCATGCTAGAAAATATCAGAGACAAGTGTACTTTTTTGTTTATATATTTGGAATTTATTTTTTTGTTTATTGCACCTAATGTATCAGCACTTGTCAACGAAGAATGCATAGTTTGTTAATGAAGTGATAACTTATAATTAATGGCTAATGGCGAGTAGTCAGTTGGTTCTTGTAACTGGTTAATTTTTAAAGGGAATTATTGCACTTAATGTGTCAGCAATTGTCAGTAAAAAATGCAGAGCTTGTCAATATAATGATAACTTGTAGTCAATGGCCAATAGCAAGTAGTCAACGGGTTCTTGTAACTTGTTGATTTTTAAAGGAAATAACCGTACTTAATGTATTAACACTTATTAATGGCGAATGCATAGTTTGTTAAGATAGTGATAACTTGCAGTCAATGGCCAATAGCAAGTAGTCAACAAATTCTTATAACTAGTTAATTTTTAAAGAGAATAATAGTACTTAATGTATCAGCACTTGTCAATGGTGAATGCATAGTTTGTTAATATAGTGATAACCATTTCTCAATTGCCAACAGCAAATAATCAACTTGTAACTTGTTGATTTTTAAAGAGAATAACAGCACCTAAAGTATCAACACTTGTCAATAGTGAATGCATAGCTTGTCAATATAGTGATAACCACTTGTCAATTGCTAACAGCAAGTAATCAATAGGTTCTTGTAGTTTGTTGATTTTTAAAAGGAATAATAGCACCTAATGTATCAGCACTAATCAATAGCGAATGCATAACTTATTAATAAAGAGAAAACCACTTGTCAATTACAGTTGGCCACTTGTCAACATTTAATTAATAAAACAAACTATTTGTCACATTTACAAACTTATAATCTCCATTCATAATAACATTGTTTAAGTTAACTACACGAAATAGGCTAACTATATAAAAGGACATAATTATCAATAAAGTTATATCCTAAAGTTCTATCAATAATCTTCTATTTCCTCTTCTTCCTTTCCTAGGATCTTTCTAACAAGGATATGGCTTTGTGCTCCTTCACATTGTTATAATGACTCAATAGCCACCATAAAAATTCTATCTTCTTTTTATAGAGGTAATCCTGCACCGCAAGTCATTCTTATGAGGTATAATAGAGATTTTGCAATAAAAAAAGCTTGCATCACATGCTTGAGAGTAATATATAAAATGTCCTCTATATGAAAAAAAATAATATAATACATGTTTTTCGGTGATATAAGCATTTTTACAAGTCATTCTGCATAATACAGTGCATCGACAACTATCGATAGCATATTGACAATACAAGAATATACTATTGACAACATGTAGAGTTGTTCGTATCAGATATTTTTCAACGTATCAATGTCGCACCAGATGAATCCATACCTATTAGCTATGCAAATCAAATGATCTTAGGCATACCCAGAAAGCATTATCCTACCCTTAAACAATAATGAAATTATTAACGCATGAGAAATCGTTTACTCGTTCAACAATCACTGTATTGTTTTATGTCGTGTGATGAAATACTACAGTCGTGAATGAACACTCTCACCTCGCTTAGATGAAGATAATGACAGTAATCATAGATATGAGGAAGTGAAAATTATCCTACCGTGATCAACAATCATGGATGTGCATCAATCTTCAATCTCGCTGATCATGGGTTTCGTGAGATCTGTGTTCAAGTAAGATTTCTTTTTTAATGATAAAGGACAAATTAATAATTTTATTTTTATACTTATTCACCTTTAAGTCCCTTAGGATCTGATAATTATTTGATGAATTCATAAAATTTTAATGTATTTTGAATGCTTCCACGCAATGATTTTTCCTGTTTTGTAATGGAAATGCTGCTTCCATTTCATCACTCTTGCATCCCAACGGGCTTAACTTGTTTCCGTCAGATGCGAAATCACTATTGCCCAAGTCCCCCAGGGGGAAACGTGTCTAGTTTTGTAGGGTTTATGGAAGATATAGCGAACCAGGAGATTCCTCCCTCCGATCACACACGTACTCTTTCTCTCTCCTTACAAAACCTCTAGGGCACAAAACGATCCGATTAACTTGCACCATCAATCATCAATCAAGAGCCACTTGTAAGCAGACGTCCCTCAATCGCAATTTCACTGATCTCCGTTTCCTTCCACCGAGTTCTTCCATGGCGGATTCCACCTCTTCTCCTGCCATTTCAGAACCCAACCCGCAAAGAGCTGACTCGGGGGCTCCCAATTCTCATCAGAATCAACCCGATCCGGTTCCTCCCTCCGCACCCCCGGCAGTACAACCTCTGCCATCATCCTCTGCGCCCGTCGGGGCAGTAAACCCTAACTTGAGCCCATCAGGACTACCCCCGCCGCCTCCTTCAATTTCATATGCGGCGGCGGGGGCGGCAACCCAAGTCTCTGGGGGAGCCGTTGCACCTCCCGTCGTGCCATCGTTCAGGCCAGTAGCTCCGCAGACTCCTCATTTTTCTCCCATACCTAACCCTCTCAACTATCAAAACCCAGCTGTTCAGCCGCCCGGTGTAACTTCTGCCTCCCCAATGACTCCCGGTGTGGCTAGTAGTGCGGGAGCGGTTTCAGTGCCAGCGCAGATGCAGCCAATGATGGTTCCTTATCAGATTCCCCCGGTCAGCCTGCAAATCCGGCCTTGAGACCCTTTGCACCAATGCCCAATGGTTATACTGCCATACCAGGAGCTCCGCAAGGGACCATGCCTCCACCGGGTGGGTTACGTTGTATTCATCATCCGTGTATTACGGTTGTTTTCTTTTGCTTTTAGCTGTGTTTACGTATTCAGATTGGTTTCGACATTAGAAACTTTGTATTTTCCTCCCCACTGGTATGAAAAATTGGAAAGGGAGATGAAAGAAGAGAGGAAGAGAAAGAATTAGATGAAAAGAGTCTCCGTTAACTAACATACTTGTTTTCCTTCCTCTCTTTCGGGACGTTGTGTATGTAGAGAAAGTGGCTAGGCAAACAAATCCAACTAACTACCCAATCCTTCTATTATTCATATCATCAGGTAGCAGGGCCCAAGTGTGCTTGACTGACTGACATACGTTACTCTCTTGCTTCTAGCCTTGGGCGCTCTAAGAACTAAGATTATTGTGTATTGGCTAAACAGAAGGAATCAACGCCTTGTTAAAATGCTATTATCTTTATGATAACTTTTAGGTATGTTATATAGTGGGGAAGAGTTTGTTTTAGTTGAATTCGGAGATTTAGAAACTTCATGTTGGTTAGATAAGGGGTATCGATGACAGGATGTTTTCTCCTACAGTGTCTTGATTGAATACATTGAGAAAGATTGGAAGGCTTCATATTGCTTAAAGATCTCCCTCTACAACTCTTTCTTGGTATGCACGTATTTGCTTGGTTTCTTGCTTGTCTTTTGCTAAAGTTGGGAACAAAGTTTACACAGAGATATTAACAGTGGAAAAATTATGTTATCTTGTCATTCTAAACAATATGTGGTTGTGTCATGATCATAGTGGGCTACTTTATGCTAGTTATAAAAGTACTTTTCCTTCAATGATTTTATGAATTCCAGAAGCCGACCGTATTTGCAACTGAATGCACGTTGGCCTTGTGTCCCAAGGTATTGCAATCTTTTCAATTCTCTTTTTCTCTATTGCGGTTTCCATTCTTTCTTTTTCTTGGTGCATCTTGGGTTGCTGACAACTGATATGTATAAAAAGAATAATTAATTCAACTAGAATTTCATCTTATTAAATTCTGCATACATGAGATGTTGGAAGTCTCATGTTACTTGCAATTGGTGGATGGGATAATTTGAAGAGGCTGCAAGTAATCAAACAAAGGTAAGCGCTTTTTACATAACTGTGAATTACAAACTCGTTGGTACTTCTTAATTTCTGCTTCAGGTGTCATATCAGAAGGTGATTTTTGGATGTGCTGCCATCTATATTATGCTTTTGATGTGTGGTAACAACATTCATTTGTTATTGTTGCATTTTTTGACACATTTTGATTGCCATTCGTAATAGTTCTTGCTACAATCCACTCATGACCATGCTCTGACATATCTGCATAGTGTCTGTTTGAATTTGTGCAGGAATGCCCAGGTTTCCACACCCTTATGGAACTATGGTTCGTCCTTCATTTCCTCCACGCCCACCTGGAGCTGTTAATGTGCTTCCAGCTGTATCACGCCCACCCGTAGCAGGAATCCCTCCTGTTCGCCCTGTCATTCCTCCTGTGGTTAGACCAGTGGTTGCTCCTAACATTACACCTGCTGATAAACCACAAACTACGGTTTATATTGGAAAGATTGCATCAACAGTGGAAAATGAATTCATGCTTTCACTACTTCAGGTAAATTTTTAACAATTCTTTGTTTCCTGTTCAAGAGCAGGTTTGTTTGGGCTTACTTCTGTAGTTCTTGTCCCAAAGTTCCTAAAATGCTCTTGAAAATCTGGCTTAAAATCTATGAGTTTTGATATGTAGATTATGTTCTTTCTTGTAGTTATGTGGACCTATCAAGAGTTGGAAACGTCCTCAAAATCCAACAAATGGAACTCCTTTAAGCTTTGGATTTTGGGAGTTTGATTCTGCTGAAGGCGTTCTCCGTGCATTGCGTCTGCTCAATAATTTGAATGTTGATGGGCAAGAATTAATGGTATCTTCAATTATATTTTCTAGAAATCCTTGCATTAGAGCTATCTTTACTTATCTGTTTTACTATGAGATGTAAAAAGCGTGAACATAACTTTTCATGTTATAGATGAAATTTTTAGTGACTTTAGTTCAGGCAGTTGAGTTACTTGTTAATTAAGTTCTTGAGATGTTATAAACTGTTTGCTGCCTTCTTTCTGTTGATTTAGTGCTATTTGAAATAAAAAAAATTGAAATCCTTTTGACATGATACGAGGACTTCTGCATGATTTTAGGGTTCTTTTTTTTTTTAAAAAAAAAAAACCATGCCTTGCCACATAAGTTGTTAGTATAAGGAGCATTGAATAGTGCTAGGATTGTGTAAGCTATTCATCCTATTTCTCTATACTATCTTGTGTTGTTACATAATGTATGGCATAATGGATTGTGTAACATGATATGAAATTACAAGCATGTCTATGTTGAGAAATATATAAAACAATAGAAAGAAATGCATGCTAAATGGTGATAGGGACGAATAAGAAAGGAGGGCAAACACCCCCGCCAAAAGAAAAAAAGAAATTTTATTTGAACTCCTTATATCATCAGGTAATTCTGTTTGCCCTGGGTTGTGATATATACAGTGACTGCTTAAAGAACACCTTAGCTAAATAAGACTATACAATTTGTTGTGGATGCCAAAGATCATATTAAGCTAAATTGTCCTGGCATATACTGTATGGCATGTTCTTTTGCAGTATGCCAAATAATTAAACATGACAGTATCTGTGAAATCTGGGTGCAGCCTGCACTAGTTTCTTATGGCTGTTTCAGCCTTGTTTTTATCAATCCCTGTAGACTCCAAACCTAGTCAATTTTTTGAATGAATTACCAGAATGAATGTCTGTTTTTTTAGTGTTTTTAATTAGGCATTTCCCCTCAATGTTGGGGAGTTTTTCTACTGTGGGGGACCCGTGTTTCAATAACAGTACATAAAATTATGATTTGAGTTGTGCACCAGACCAGTGTTTCAAAAACAGTACGTAAAATTATGATTTGAGTTGTGCACCCAAAAGAAGTGATTTAATTTTATTAAGCAGGGATGTTGAACTTTGGTTGATACCATTTTTAAAGTGCTTCTTCATCGTACTTTGAACATAAGCTTAATCAGGATTGAGACAATATTTTCATTGAAAAATTGTTTTTGAGCTGTCTCCCTCATCTTTCGCTTTTTCAATAAGTTTGTATTGGGATTAGTTTTGTATATTCTTGAATTAGCTGTTCAGTTAAAAATAGTGCCATGGGAGCTTATCCTTGGAGTTGGATGTATAGAACATCTATCTTGTACCAAAGAATCCACCAAATTACTTTGATCTAATTGCACGGTTGTTTGACATTGTTATCCTTGGTTTGATGAGTCATTCTTTACATTTGGCCAATAGGTCAATCCTAATGATGCTACGAAAGAATATCTGGAGAAGTATGTTAAGAAGAAAAATGAGAACTTGCAAAAGGATACGCAGGCTGTTGGATCTGACAAAGATGATGAGAATGCACCACCTTCGAATGCAAAAGAGGATGAAAAGCCAGATGACTCAAAGAAAGATGACAGCAAGTCAGGGAACAAGGAAAATCATAATGCGACAAATCTTGGTATCATTACTGATGAAGACAGGGAAGCTGATAGAGAGGCCTTGGAGAAGATTACAAACATGATAGAGGAGAGACTGAAGACAAGACCTTTACCTCCACCTCCTGCACAGGCAGCTCCTGATGGCGCTGCAAACTCAGCTTTGGAACAACCTTCAAAGGCAAGAGATGGAGACTCTGATGCAGATACAGTGAATAATGGTGAGTTGGAAAAGCGGACAGAAGGAAGTTTCCTTTTGCTATGTTTGTCATCCGTTGACCTTTTCTACTTATTGGCATAACAGTTTATTTATTTGTAATATTTTTGGACACATGTTATCCTTGGAGGAATAGTACCCTTTCTTTTCGTGCACTGTTGTAGAAATAGTCCAACCAACAACTTTACTTTTTAAATTGTAGAAGCAGGTGATGATAGAAATGACAAGGAAACAAATAGTGAGAACAAAGCAACCAGTGAACATGATAAGCCTGAGACCCCTGATAGAAGGCATGATAGGAGGAGCAGAGAAAGAGACCGAGATAGAGAACTAAAACGAGAAAAGGATAGGGAGCTTGAAAGATATGAAAGAGAAGCAGAGCGGGAACGCATTAGGAAAGAGAGGGAACAGAGGAGGAGGATTGAGGAGGCTGAGCGCCAGTACGAAACATGTTTGAAGGATTGGGAGTATAGGGAAAGAGAGAGAGAGAAAGAACGTCAATATGAGAAGGAGAAGGAGAAAGAACGGGAGCGCAAACGTAGAAAGGAGATACTTTATGACGAAGAGGATGATGATGATGATTCAAGGAAGAGGTGGCGCAGAAGTGCGTTAGATGAGAAACGAAAGAAAAGAATGCGGGAAAAGGAAGAGGACCTGGCTGACAGACAAAAGGAAGAGGAAGAAATTGCTGATGCCAAAAGGAGGGCTGAGGAGGATCAACAACTGAAGCAGCAGAGAGATGCACTGAGGCTATTTTCTGAGCATGTCAATGGTGGTGAAAAAAGTATGGCTACTGAGGATATGACTAATCAGGCCAAAAATATTGTTCCTCAACAAGACACTGTTGCTGACCATGGTTATGAAGGCCATATAGGTAATTCTCAAAATTATGTTTTCATTTTATCCATTTTTTATACTTTCTTTGTATTGAAGATCAGGTTTCCTTTTCATGAAAGGTGATGGTAATCCGCTAAATGGCATCAATGATGAATCAACCATGGCATCAGTTGCTGTTTCTGATGCACGACAGAGTGGCAATGTCCCTGCTAAGAAGTTGGGTTTTGGATTGGTTGGTTCTGGGAAAAGAACTACTGTTCCTTCTGTCTTCCATGAGGATGAGGAGGATGATGCACGCAAGGATAAAAAGATGAGGCCTCTGGTTCCAATTGATTACTCAACTGAAGAACTGCAGGCTGTTCAATCAACTGTTTCTGGGGCCCCACCTGCAAATTTGGCTGCAGCAGCGGAATTTGCTAAGCGCTTATCCAATGCCAATATCAAGGAAGAGAAGGTAGATGGAGATTGGGATAGAATTAGGCGTTCTAGTGAGAAGTCTAACTACCGAGATAGGGACAGGAATGATGAAGATGGCTCTCACAACAAAGATGAAAGCAGGGAAAAAATTTCTGATCGTGACAGGGATCGAGATCGTGGGTTGGAGAAATTGAAGACATCAGATAACAAAAAGCTATTAGATGCGAAACAGTTGATTGATATGATACCGAAGACCAAAGATGAGCTCTTCTCATATGAGATAAATTGGGCAGTGTATGACAAGGTAAATGATCTTAATCTGGCAAATTCACTTGTGCAATTCATACTCCTAACGTAATGAAGCTGATTGCATAAATCATGACTGATGCTTTGATTAGCATATGGTGCCAGATGATATGTGGGGATCTTTTTGTGGCTGGTTAGATGTAGCTGTTTGCATATAGAGGCACTATTTTATGGAACTAAGGGAGCAAAATGTTTGTATTCTTTATAATCTTTTAGAATCCGTAAAATTTTTTCTCAATAATGGTGATGGAAGAATCTCATTAAACTTCTTCACTTTGGAATTGAAAGAAAGATAAAATTGGATGAAATATGCTAAATGCATGGTGTCTAGAGAGGAGCTCATTGGTTCTTCACTTATATTTTGGTTTTTTAATTTATATATTTAAATATTTGTTGACAATTTAATTTCAATAAGAATAGCCTTTTTGACTTGTTGATTATTGATGCTCACAATGTTTATCTGTAAGAGTTTCTGATGATTAGGGTTAGGTTACAAATTTGGCTTTGAAAATGATTGAACTTTTTCGGCATGTACTGATATGCTTTATTTGTTTTTTTGGGTCTTTGCTCCCCGAGAATCTCCTTTTTTAAAATTATTTTTAATTAATTAAAAGAAAGCTAGTTGTTGACTATTTCAACCTGTTGGAAAAATTTTAATTTCATATTATTTGCTCCTACAGCACCATCTACATGAAAGAATGAGACCGTGGATATCAAAGAAGATCACAGAGTTCTTGGGGGAAGAAGAAACGACATTGGTAGATTACATAGTTTCAAGTACACAGGAACATGTGAAAGCATCGCAGATGCTGGAGCTGCTCCAATCCATTTTAGATGAAGAAGCTGAAATGTTCGTTCTCAAGATGTGGAGGATGCTTATTTTTGAAATAAAGAAGGTGGAGACAGGCCTTGCTTTGAGGTCAAAATCTTGATTCTATATATTTTTTTTAATGCACATGCTCTATTTTTTGATGCTGGACCGAATTTTTCCCCACAATGCCCTTAGTTGGTTATGTCTTAACCCAAAAAGTGTACATTGGAATGCCTGATCATCAACGCATTAATGCAATATTTTATTCTGTATTGCTTCAAGATTCCATCACATGTCTAGACAGCTCATATTTTGCAATGGCAGTGTTTTTTAGCCATTGAGGTTCTGGTGAAGATCAGGTTAAATTTTGTAGGTTTTATCCTTTGAGATGTGAATAGTTTGTACGTTGATGTTTGCTGAGCGCTGATACTCATTTTCTTCTCTTGTATCAGTTGTTGATTCCTGCTATAATCTTGTATTTTCTCTTAATGTCAATTCTGTAGTTTGCAAGATTGGGTGTTTCAATCCCCTCCCCCTCTTGAAATTCTCCTAGCTAAATATCTGATGGAGGCTGGGAAGTCTATTTCGTAGTTTTTTTTTCTGTTCCTTGGAACCTTAATGTGTTTGCTTGATTTTTTGCGTTCTTTTTGTTGCTGGTTTCTGGCAGAACACTGTCTCCGTTTGTTTGCTTATTGGCCAAAAAAAAATTCTAGAGTGTGCCCTTGTCCAAGTGTATTATTTTTCAGTACCGAATTAAATTCTCTTGCGATATAATTGTCGCTTGAGAATAGAAATAGATTGAGGTTTCGTAAACTTGATGGAATTATTGACAATGCTTTGTATATTGGTTCGTCTTATTAGGTGGTTGCTGTAGATTCTCTTATTTCTTGTTCTAGTTTGATTGTCACTTGATTAGTTGGAAAATAAAGTTATGTTTTAAGAATTAGTCATATTCTGTATGTTACTTTTGATGGCCATTTTATTTTATGGATTGATGGGATCCAGATCCATACTAACAACAGTGCGTTTTTCCATAGCCTTGTTGACTCTTCAATAATACAAAAACTCAAATATTTGGGTAAAATACAGTTGAGTGAAAAATGTGTTTCTATTAATTTAAGAATGTTGTGTGTTAAAAATTGGAATTTGATGTAAAGTATTACAGGGAAAAAACCTAGAGAAAGCTTGTAGATGGTTCTGTCAAGTGTTCTACTGTACTAACCCAACTATGTTGGGATCTGCATTGATGAGCACCGCATGCTCATCCCCTAAAAAGTGATTCGAGCCGTTCATTTTCTTCTTAAACAATCTCATCATTGATTTTAAATTATATTTTGAAATATATTTAATATTATATTTATTGGAATACAAATATATTGTAAATTGAACATTTCAAGTTATATTTGTACTGTAAAGAATACATTTGAATATTTAATCTGTAAAAATAATTAAAAGTACTATCAAATTGGATTATTTAGGTTGAATTTATATTGGTTAAATTAGTGATTAGTGGTTTTATTAAATATTTTTATATTTTTTACATATTTTTATTTGAATGAATATGAAATAAAAATAAGAAGTTTAAATATAGACTATTGAAGTTTTATCAGAGGTGATAACGACTGTGAGATTCATCCTTTAATAAGTATGAACAACATTCCAAATTTAATATTAATTTTTTTTAGATTTTTTATATATTTTCATTTTGATAAATATATTATTAAAAATATTTTTTAAAAAAATTAAAATTAACAAAGATCATTTGGAGTAAAAAATGAAGTGTCCAAATCACCTTATGGGTGATGAGCAGGGAAGAGGATTCCTAATGTTGGCGCTACATCACATGCACTGTCTAATTCTTTTACACAAGTAAATTTCTATTTCCCATTATTTGAGTTGGTCATTTGATCGAGGTAGTAAAAAGCATTTGGGATCTATGCATACGCGCAGTTTAGTTTTGTCACAGCCCATAAAAGTGTTAAATGTTTTCTGATTGCATTATTGAAGACGAAAACAATTCTTTCTTTTCTTGTGTGCTCGTTAATTGGGTTGAGAGAAATTGTGTAACAAGGAAATCAAAGATAGTTAAGATAAGTTGATTCTAATTGGAGAGTAGTCTTGGAAAATAATAGTAATTTCTTTTTATAGTTTTGATCATTCAAATTATTTTTAACTGTTTTTCTTAATTTGTGTAAAATAATTAAAAGTAACTTGTGTTAAGGATTGGAGTGGTATATCTAATAGTCTCTCCATTAAAAATATAAAGTATTTTTAATTAAATTTTATCTTTAATAAAATAGTTACATATTTTCAAACTAACATTGTCTTTCCATATTTATTTTTATTTAATAGGGTGTTTCATCTTAAAATAAATATATAATAATTTATTTAATAGAGGCACTTTAAAAAAAAACAATGATTACACCTTAAAAGAATAAAAATATTTTACATTTTTTAACATCCAACCTCTCAAAAAATACTAGAGGGAGTAGTTACTTTCTCTAATCCTTAATATGAGATGCATTTTAGAGGGTTTCTATGGTCTTAAATATAAGACATTTTGTAAAAAATAAATAACATTAAATTCTCATTGTCCATAAATGTCTTTATTAATTTTGTTGTTCAAAGAAATGATATAAAAAAATAATTAAGGTAGATTGATTTTAATTGGGTAACTTGAAAAGTAATGATAATTTTTGACAATTTTAATTGTACATACTACTTTTTATTATTTTTCTTAATTTATGTGAAGTAGTTGAAAGTGTCTTGTATTACAACCAGTTTCAGTGCTCATCTAAGAGCTCATCGTCTTTGAATCTTTCAAATATATTTTCATGATCTAGATTTATAATTTTTGAACGAGTGTTTTTTAATAAATAAATTAATGGTAAAATGCTTGCAAAAACCAATCAGATCTAATTTGAATAGTCTAAATTTATAGCTTTTTACTTTTATTTTTTTAAAAAAATTATTTCAATGAATATGGAATCTAAAATGAAAACAAACTCTTAATTGTCACTTTTTCAAAAAAAATAATTTTTTATTTAAAAAACACTCGTTGATAAAATAAGTTATAATATTTATAACTCAAGGCTTATTATAGAATTTTTATATTATATGTAGACATGAATAATAAAATTATTTAAATGTAAATTTTTCACAACTTTTAAATTACTCTTAATTAAATTAAAGTCATTATTTAAGTTAAACGGTGGAAGAGATAATGACATTTTAAAAAATGGTTAAACAACATTTTCACCCCTAAACTCTTTTTTTTTCCCGATCAAAACAAACGACATCATGTTTAGGGTGTCTTATGGATCGCCCACTAGATATTTACCAATACAAAATATATCAACCCAGACTTAGAATCAATTAAAAATATTGTCACATGTCATATATGTTTATATTGACACACGTTATATAGGTCTTTGTATAAAAAAGAGCTTGTTAGTCATATATAGTTGTTGAAGATTGACAAACTTTTTCCCCGCTATCAATGAGTGCCTGGTTAGTAACTCAAAATACACAAATATAACTTATGAGCTGGCTAAGTTATATAACTTAGCCAGTACCTGGCTAGTAACTTAGAATACATAAATATATACTCCCTCCTTTTAAAAATATAAATTATTTTTTGAGAAATTGAATGTTAAAAAATATAAAATATTTTTAATTTTTTAAGGTGTAATCATTTTTTTTTTAAAAGTGTCCCTATTGATAGTGACTTTATATTTATTATAGAGTGTTTAATAGAGATAAATATAGAAAGATAGGGTTAGTTTGAAAGTAAGGAACTACTTCATTTGAGAGTGAGCTTCGATTGAAAATGTTTTATATTTTTTAATAGAGGGAATATAATTTATAACATCATTAACTGATAGTAAGTGCGGATTGACACACTTTTTTTTCTATCAATTAGTGCTTGATTTGTAACTCAGAATATATGAATATAACTTACAAGTTGCATCACCACTAATTGACTATTAGTTCAGGTTGATAATTTTTTTTATTAATAAATAGTTAGTTAACAAGTCATGTAACACCCTGATGCCACATGTTTCTACATTATTAAACTAAAGGTGCCAGGCGTCAATTGCTTCTCTATAAATACTTTAAGGACAAAAAGTGGAAGGATATTCTAAGATTACAAGATCGTGAGACAAACTACGACTATTTCTAGCTAAAAGGTCCGGTTTGCCATTACAATTCCTATGGCTTTAAGTTAATATGAACATTCCAATCTCTATGTAGAATGTCTAAAGAGGAATTACTAACATCTCTGAAAGGGTGATTATTTGCCTAAATTCTTGAAATTAATCGCTTCAGCACAATTAAAATAAACAATGGTCTTTCAAAAACCTCTCTCCCAACATAACTCAACGCTCTTAGCTATACCAGAAATTTCAGCAATAACAGGTGGGCAAGGTGACAGTTTAGAAACACCATTTTACATCTCAAGTTCCAAAAATCTCCCAGCAAGTATATGAAAAGAGCACACTCCAAGGTATCTTCCCCACAATCCAAGACATACTTGTGAACCTGCTTCTAAATTCTGGTTTAACAAGTTGAATCTAGAAATTTAAAGCAGATTCACAATCTCTTACGACATGCATTGTGTTTTCAGCAGCAACACAACCAAGAGGACAGTTACAGTCTCCAGAGATACCTCTTTGTGATCTGAGATCCGTTGTGTGTGGCTTGTCTTTTGCAACCAACCAAAGAAACATTTTTTTTTCCTCTGGTATATTCAAGTCCTAGATGAGACTCAATAGATTATTCTGTGCGTTCATTTGTACCTGCGAAAGTGAAATCATTGGCAGATCTAACGGTACATGAATTGTCAATGGATGGTTTCCAAATAAGCTTATTCTCATCACTCATTTCGACTCTCAACTCTCTAGGACAAAGAGTACTGGTGATTTGGTCAACAATATGGGAAGGTAACCAGTATAACTGTATCATCAAGGTTCAAAGGACCATTAAGCACATGTTGCTAACTAGAGAGGAGAGTCTCTACCTTAGGGCCAATTCTCCAACAAAAACTTTGATGACTAGACAAGATAATTCCTCTCCAACAAGCCCCTTCACTCTAATCACATGAGGACATTATCTTAAATATTGATTCGAAAAAGGCAAGCATGATTCTGACACTAACAATTGAAAAAAATGATTGAGGATTGCCAGCATATTTGTATCTCTTGAACAATTATCTAATTTCCATTGCACAATGAGTTTATACAAAAGCCAACTATTCAATGGTAGGTAACCAATAATATAGGAAGCAGGCGAATTCAATCTTAAAATCCTTGGGGACCGAGAAGACAATATATACTGCACGCAATAAGAATTTTCAAACTAAAAAATATACATCTCAATCTTCTCTGTCCAATAGACACAGCACACGTCTGAATTGAAAAATACGAGCAGTGTTTGTTGTTTTCAAGGATTCTTCATTTTGATCCTTAACTTGCGAGCTATTTGTGCTGCTTTTGGATGAAGAGGCCTCTTGTTGCTATCACACTGTTCAACCTCAACCCAGTTTATCACTTTGAGAATAAGTGACTGTGGAACTTTTCTTACATCCCCACCGTCTTCTTTTCCCTTAGCCTTCTTCATACCCTTTTCCAAACTCTTCTCTATGAACTCCATAAACCAGTTCCCAGCTTCTGTCTCAATCTGCTTTCCCAGCTTTATTGTATTGCTTATGTTGTTGCATGATGATGGCGGCGGCGGCTGCTGTTTCTTATTCTCATCATTTTCACCAATAGGGTCAAGTTGGAATTTTACAAAGGTGGGACCTTTTCTCTCAAAAATATTTTTTTGGTTAGAGCTTGACCTTAAAAGTTCCCCCATGTTTGCTGAAGAGACTGACTTGTACAAACCCTTCTTTCTCTTTGACATGCTTGATTCTGAATTCCTGCGTTGGCCCAATGAATTGTGTGTAATTTCGTTCAAAACTGAGGATTCTTCATTATCATCTTCTTCAGAGTGTTGTTTGCTGTTGTGTGAGTTCTGAGCCATTTCTGAAGCTGAAGTAGCTGCTTCAATGGACACCATTTCTCTAACTGCTTGTACAATCTGGCTATGGAATTCTAAGAACCGTTCAAAACAGGCAGCCGGTGCATCGGCTCGAGATGATTTGCATAAATTGGAAAACATCCTTTGACACAACAAAAGGAAAACAATTTTTTCATCAAGACAAGATTGAGCTCGCGAAAGTTTACATTAAACAAACAGAATCATCTCTGCATTAGTTTTTATTGGCCGTTCTCTGCACTACTAGTTCACTTGTTTAGTTATACTCTACAGAAGTTGTTAACCGCACGAAACTGGTATATTCATTAAATTTATAAGACTAAGTTATGCAAATATAATACAATGAAGAGACTGATTTATAGCCAGTTTAATAATAAAAAGAAGTGCTTCATACTTGAGACACCGGACTACTGATTCAGTAGCTGAAGCATCTCTTAATGCTTTAAGGGCAATTTTTTGAGAAACTTCTCGTTGCTGCACAGCTTCCTGCCAAAGCAAAAGAAGAAAGATTACTTTCTGTACAGTGATAAAAGGTTGAATTCTTCTTTTCGGCCACTAACATGACAAAAATATTCAGTACACAGAATGAACTTGGCGCAGAGCAAACTTCAGGGACCTACTCATAAAGGTAAATAAACTTAGAGACCAAGGCACACTAATTTGACCGTTACAAAATTCTACCTTTCCCAGTGAGCTAAGCTTTCCAGGTAAATTCATGGGGAGGCTAAGATTGTTACTATTATTACTATCAAAAGCAGAATTGGTTGACTGAATTTGCATGTGAGGAGTCATATTTGAGTCCTGATTCTCTGCATCTCCAGCTACACTCATCGAAGAAGCTGCCACTCCAGCACTCCTTAACCTTGGTGGTGGAGTCGCACTTTTCTTTTCCTGAAAGTGAATTATACCACAAACACAAAACAACCTCAGAAATCATACATAAGACTTCAACCTCATTACAGCCTTTGAAAATCAAAAGAAGGATTCAAAATTTGACCAGACTTTGATAGAGCCCATTAATACTAAAATCATATTTCAAGGACTAGAGTTTATCTTTCAATTTCTATACCCACTTAGAATAGCTGCAATAAAGACATGAAACGCCAAGAATGTACATTCAATTATGTCCATTCAAGCATGGATCATATCATAAAGAGGAAGGAAAAATGTACCTACAGATGACTTGAAGGGGGTTATGGGTATCCGAGGTTCTCGTCCACACACACTCCTGCTCCTAGGAAACTTCGAAGCAGAGCTAACCACACAGCTTTTTCTAAGCAAGGCAGGACTTTCTACCTTAACATCCGTCATCTTCGCCAAAAGCCCTCCACCCACTGAGCTTCTCACACCGGAAGCAGGGGTGGTTCTAGTCATCGGAGACATCATTGCCTGAAAGTTACTATTTTTCGCCGAACTTCTCGGTTCTTTCACCGGAGTGCATTGATCAAAGTCCAAATTCACAGGCTTAAACACCATCGGAGATGAAATTTTATCTCCTTCATTCCCTCCTGTTCCCCAAGACCCCCTTCTCGGAGGAGCCGAATCGGAAGGCTTCTGTTCGGTCCTCACTCCCTTTTGTCTCAGACCCATTAATGGCTCCGGCGTACCGACAAGAGGGTGTCGTCCGGGGAGCGGTTTCGCGCCTTGTACGACCGGAACAGGGGATCCTGGCTCTAATCTGTCGACATAGATGAACTGACCCAGCTGCATTTTGTTGCTGAGAACGAAATCATCTTGATCGGAGGGAAGACTGACGTAAATGGAGTGAGATGAATCCGATACTTTTATGTAGAAACCATGCTTCGGCCAGAGGTTCTTCTCGTCCAGATCGGCCGGAACAATGTCGGTAACCTGCAGAAGCGAGCTCCGGTGCTCGCCTGTGGGTTTAACTCCGGTGTTCATACCATTGAGGAGCTTCAGAAGAATCCCAGGTGCTAGTGATGCCATTTGAAGAAGGCACAAGAAAAAAAAAAAGGAGCTTGATTATGTCAACAAGGCATAGAAGGTAAAGAAATCAAAGATAGTTGAAGAAGCGGAAGCAAGAAGTGAGCTTTGATCTTTCTTCCAATTCTTTTGAAAGAAGGTTAATTAATGTTCACAGGGTTTTCAGGGTCCTTTTCACGAGTTAGGAACTTCCCGTTGGTAACGGTAAGTAGGGAGCCTTTTCGAATTTCATATATATATATATATATATATATTTTCATGTTTTGTAAGGACGACGGGGCTAACGGTCATATTTTGCCGTAGCGTCACATCAAAACAGGGATCTGAATTGGACCGGCCCATTTCCCCTAGCCACCGACCAATCGACCCAAAATGATGCAACCCCCTATGCTTTTGTTGAGATGTCGAAAATGTTTCTCTTTTTTTGGGCCTTTATTTACAAGGGTACCGTCAATCTACTTGGGGAGAAACAAAAAAAGAAAATGGCTGCAATACAACAAAATGCATTACGTTAAAATAATTTAAGATATTTTTTTTATTTTGTTTGAAATGTATGATCGATAGATTGAATACCAAATATTAAATATGTTAGTAAGGGGGATATTTGCGTGGTGTGGCAAGGGTGATTCAGCAAAGTAGCAATTATTTTTGTTTTATAATTTTCAAAATGAAAAGGATCCGAAGGTTGAATCTTAAACGGATCTCCTCGGATGTTTTTTGTGTAGTGATTGAGAAGTGGGAAATAATCAACGTCTGATCTATCAAATAAAAGCATATTTGAAAGGTTCGATGAGTGCAAGGTTTCTTAATCATAATTCATTTTCCTTCCTTTTCTACCTGAAGGAGGTCAATTTGCATGCCATCACTCCAAGTATTTTTGTTCTACTCATTGGACCAGATCTCGGACGATCGTAACTCAACTAGATCATCATTGACCAAATCTGTTAATAGTTCGGTTTGGAATCTTTGGATTAAAAAAATTATTTTTATGGTTGAGCCAAGTTAGCATCTCACACAACATAACGAATCAAGTTTTGAATATTTGTCATTATGAGTGATCAAAAAAACAGAGAGAGAGAGAGTTTCACGAACTTTGTGCTAGTATGAGGATTTCTTATCCTCCAGATATCAATCGAGCAATGATCATTCATAAGTTGGGTTGCTTCTTGCTGCTAAATGAATAATGTTGGAACTTGGAACAATGACAATATCCTGCTACTAACGTTCTGTCTGGCATCTTTATAGCACAAATTCTTAATTGAGCCGGGTCTAATTGAATTTATCAGGCCCGTTTAAATTATTGGCCCATATATATTAGTCCCATATGTTTTTAGCCCAAAATTTGAATACCCAGCCCATGTCTATCTGAACCACCCAAATCTAAGCTTCTGAAAATCTTATGTCTAGGTCTCGAGTTTGCTTCCAAGCTTTAACCATGCTTAGTGAATATTCTTTTGAAGTTTCGGTAACTATAATCGGAAATTGCCCTTTCGTGCAAATAATTTGACCTCCTTTCCTTTACAAGTTTTGGTCATTTTTCACGTTTAGCATTGCTTCTGCATTATACCACCAAAATTCAGGAAAACTGTGATAAAGAACCCAAAAAAAAAAAAATTACAATTTTCCTAATAAAATGTAGATATTCTCAATTGAGGCTTAGGGTTAATTTTGGCCTTTTTTTCACACGAAAAATTTCTAATTTGTAATATAGTATAATTGGAGCGCCTTTCCTTATTACTTTTTTTCCCTAAGTATATATATTATATATATAATTATAAATTCCTAATAGATGATCCTACATATTGAATGATAGAAGGTGAAGCAGGATCTGGATTTTTATATTCCACAGTTGTGGATAATTTCTTTACATTTCATGAGGAACATATATATTATTTCATAACAGTGAAGTGATATGGATAAGCATTCTCAAGTCATGATGAATCCAGCTTGGCGTGCCCATGAATTCAGTATGGTCCCACCGAATCATTTGATTACACACACACATTTTTAAAAAAAAGCATAATATATTAATCAAGGTGGATGAAAACAAGAAAGCAGAATAATGCAACTTTTAATATCTTAAATTTATATTAAGTATCAATTTAATATTATAAATTTAATTTTTATTAATTTAATCTCGAAAGTGTACTGTGATTATTTATTTAGTCTTTATTATTTTAAAAAAGGTTATATTATTAGAATTTGCTGATGCGTAATGAATAAAATGAAGTAAAATTATTTAAGAAAAAAATACTCTAAAATATTAAAAAAAGGAAAAAACAGTGTAAATGATTTTATTGATAAAAATTATATTAATTTGAAAATTAATTTGTTCCCATTTAATTATATATTCATGTCAAATCATCAATATACTTTATAGGTAGATTATTTTGAGAGTCAATATATGTTTTAAAATTTAAAGTATTCACATGATAATTTAAAAAAATATCAAATATCAAATTAATAAAAATTAAATGTGAGAGATTAAATTAATAATTAAGAGAAATGTGAAGAATTAAAAATTTTATCATCTTCAAAAATTATATATAGGAAAAATACATATATTTGCATGTAAAATCTGTACCTCACGAGTATGAGATATGAATAGTGCAATTTGTAGGCCTCAGACCTAGACGTTAAATGTTAAGCTTTCTTAGGCAGTGTGCCTTGTTTTCATTCAAAAGACCAATAGAAAACTTGGGTCTGGCCTGAAGGCTCAGCTTTACAGACCCAAAAAGCACAAAAAGGAATTCAATTAAAATCAAAACAAATAAAACGTAAAATTTGTAAAGGTTTCTTTTTTCTTTTTCTTTTTTTTTTTTCACTTTGCTATGATGAATCCAGCATACGGAACATTTTCTTCTTCCAGGTATGAGAGGAAATACTTCATTTTGTGAAATTACTGTATTTCTACGAATAAAATATGGAAATATTTGTTTAAAAAAGAGAGAATTTATCTATACATCATATGAAAAAAATCTAATAAGCTATACTATTTGTAAATCATGATCTTGTTGAGTCACACGTTTATGATTCAAGCATCGGTTGAATCATGTTTAAATTGATTATGAATAAATTAATATGTTTTAAATAATAAATGCTCAAAATAAAAAGAAATAGTTATCCACAATAATATATTATCCCTTAAACAATGGTAAAATGAGATCACCAAGTTAAATGGTTAATGGAGTTTTTATTTGAAAGGAAAAAACTACCATTCAAAATGATAATTTTATTAGGATTCGGTTTCATAGACTAAGCTAATTTTTTAATGATAAAAAATTATTAATGTTTGGGTCTAATAATTTTATAATTTGGGTTTGATTTTTTTTTTTTATTGTCCACAGGTTTCCTTTATCAAAAACAATTATGTTTAAGGTATGGTCAGACATTAAATGTAGGTATATCTTTCAACTAAAATTTAAATCTTAATCCATCATGTTGTGAAGAATTAACTCATTTCGCTAGATTCAATTTTCATTGATAATTTGGGTTTGAATTTATAGGGTTTGAGCTAGAAATTACATATTTAATAAGTTTATGAGCCTAAATATTTTTATTTAGTCAAGGGTACAAAATTTCAAAAATAGTAAAGTTAAAATTTTACATATCATACTTATAATTTTATCCACAATTTTACATTCTAGACGAAGGTATTGAAAATAGATATTTCATTCTATAAGTACAAGTAATATAAGTACATAACAATAATCTATGAATAATGTGAATGTATTCTCAAGCCCAATGAAACTCATGGTAACTAAATAATATAATAATAATAATAACAACAACAGGAATATGGAGGGGAATGAAGAGTGGTGTGATGGGTTTGGTGAGTGAAGTTAATAGAATCAATTGAGAACATTATGATGATAGGGAAAGTCAGCTGATATGAAGTAATAAATTGACTTGTGAAAACCATTCAACTGCCTCTGTCTCAACTTACAAGCACTCATCTCTATTGAATTCATTTTTTCGTGCATTCTAGGGCACCACTTACCCATTCTGTCTTTATATATAAAATAATTTTATTTTAAATGTAAGGATTGTCGTGATATTTTTTAATAATAAAATAATTATATTCTTATTTTAAAAATAGATGAAATATTAATTGTGTATTTTATTTTTCACTATTGTAATATCAATTATGGTATTATTGTGAGTATAACTAAAAAATCATTTTTATCGATACATAGGATTTGTTTACACACACACATATATATGAAGTTATGAAAAGAGAGAGCATACCTCTTTAATTTACTACACGTACACAACACGGCACCCCAGCTACCTAGGCTGCGCTATTCAGTGCTCTCTCATTTATACATCTAACCCTACCTGTTTACATGCATCAACCATGTTGTTCATCACTGTACACGTTTCAGACATTTTTCATGCAAATTTCAAAAAAATTATTATATTGCTTTATCTGTTCAAAAATATCCCAGCATTATATTTCAATTATTAAAAGGAACTTCATATGGCCATATCCGGCTCAAATTACAAGAAAGCTACTAAAATTATACTCCATCTGTCTAATATTATAATATAAGACACTTTAAATGAAATTACACCTGCTAATGAATTAATTAATTATTTTTAAAATTATACACATTTTTTATATTTATTTTTATTTAATAAAGTATCTCAATTAAAAAATATTGTTAATTACATCCTTTCATAAATAGTATTTTTGAAAAAAACTTTATTAATTGCATCTTAAAAAACTTAAAATGACTTAGATTTCTTAATAAGATACTTAGGGGAAATATCATTTAATATTCTGACTAAATATCAGCTTTCATTAGAAGGCACCTTATATAAGGAATTTGCCAGCTAGCTCAGGGAGCTATATGTTATGTTTCTTTTCTTCCTCTTGCTTTTGATCAATTCTTCTTCTAATATATAGGCTCTTTTTTTTTAAAAAAAAAATGATAGATTGATACTAAAGAAAAAGGAATAGTAACCAACAAACACACATGCAAAAGAAAATATAGGAGTAGTATGCTCCTTACAAATGTCAAAGATCTCCCAAACATTTCTACATTCTAGCAAAGAAGAATGTTGTTTCTTCCTTCCTCTCACCAGTTGGTTTTGTCATTTATGTAGGTAGGTAGCTAGTGAAAGAGTTTGTTTCCTTTATAGGTTTCTCTTCCAATTTTTTCTTCCAAA